TTCCCTCACATCTCATTTGCTTCCTTGAACACTAATTACTAAATACCACTAACACTGTTTTTGTCTCGTTTATCTACTAATATACTAATCCAGTAAAGAACAAACTTGCACTATTTGGGAAATATTATTGCAAGAACTACTAATTGGATCTCACTGATAACCCTGCCCGCTTTGCTCTCCCAGTCCTTTGCCTTCGTTTCTGCAGATACTTTCGACTATCGCTTATACTAATCTGTTTCTCCCATCTCTCCCCACTTTGGCACTCCTTGAATGGAGCTGTTCTTGTTTAAGGATGTCTCGTGAAACTAGTCTTTGTCATTGTCTCCCATTTTGTATTGTTAATTACCTCTTGTACCTGTCTGTGCCTATCTGGATATGTTTGCTTCCTGTCACCAACCCATTTCTGTACAAGCATAATTCCTGTCTTTTGCTGCCCTGGCTTATGACCTCGGATTTCGGACACTCGACTCTCCCTCTGGTTTGCGATTTTGTGCTGTGCTCTGTGCCTTTTTTTTGTGCCTGCCTGTTTTTAAACCCTGTTTTGGATGACCCTTCTGCGCCGTGTCACTGTGATCACCTGGTTTGGACTTGGACTGTCAATGAAGGCTACGATTTTGCATTCAGGACTACCTGCCATTGGTTCCTTTCTCCAGATGTTATAGTATCATTATTTGGTATTAGAGTGTGATTTCAACCACCAAAACCATCAATACTGAACTCATCAGAGTTGATCTACTTTCCGAACTTAGTCATTTTTTAAGAAATGTGGGCCAAAGGGTCCATTTTTAAAAAAATCAGTTCACACAGAAGGAAAACTTGTTATTGGCCCTTAAATTGGATTTGTGTAAGTTGATCATATTAAAGGCAAATTGTCTGTCTCAAGTGGAGACATGGTGAAATCATTGCCTAAAATGAGGGTTCTGAAGGGTCCGTTTGTCCTGTGACAATTTTCGGAACCCCACCATAACCCCACTAATGATCTGGTGTCCCTGGAAATCATCTGAGTTACAGTAATGACGTCATATTTGATGGAGAAGTTGTCAAAAAGCCTTCACACAAATCTCAATTACCTGGACCCTCCAATATCCCAAAAAATCATTATCACATGAAACAAAATCCAGTTTTTAAGGGTTAATATTGTATACAATGGAACCAGTATCCCATTTGTAAGCACTGGTTCCAAGACAGGAGGCAATCAATGACCACTTTATCAATTTTCATCCCTGCTACAACTTAAGGGCAGGAAAAAAGTGGGCGTGGCACCCAAATTTCCCAGGGCCATAATGCTGAAATGACTAAATGTATGAAGCTGAAATTTGGGATTCCTTCATCTGGGATCAAAAACTAATTTTAGATTTTTTTTTTTTTTCAGTCAAATCTGAGAGATGTCACTGGGGAGGATTCTGGAATCTCAGCGAATTCACATGGAATGACCCCGTGGCAAGTCAGTTAACTGTAATCTATCATAGATGTGCTAACTACTCTTTTGATGGGACAGCAAACAAACTCTGAAGCAATTTTTTTTCCTGTTTAAATTACAATGTAGTTACTGCACTTGGCACACAACAAGGGGTAAATGGGTGGAGATTGTTTAATAATACTTTCCCTTTGATTACTTCGGAGAGAATTACAAAATTAAAAGTATTTTTGTTGTTTTTTAGACTTATTGATTATTTCCAAATTCCAAACAGCAAACAAAAACACTCTATGGACCAGCAGGTGGCACTAGAGTGATAGATAAAGAAGCTTCATCCAATTCACGGGAAAGTTGCTTTACCGGTTCATACGTACATGTGATGTACTAACCATGTGCCTCAGATCCGATCGACTTAATCGGTTCAAAAGGCCTTGGCGTTCTTAATTTACATCGGAGGAAGCTACTGTGGATCTATGTTTCAAGTCTCCTGGAATTTTTAAAGTTTTTTTTTTTTAATTCTCATTTGTTGGAGAATTTTTGTACTTATAGACTTTCGTGCCAAAGCTCTCCAACGCGTGGACATTGACGTCTGTAACTTTAAAACAAATCTTTGTGGAATAGTTATTTGTTTCAGCATAATGGCTATGTTATGACTGTACAAAAATGCGAAATGAGAGCGGCAACGAATAGAATAACTAAAACTTTGCCCTCTGACATTTCTTCAGTGCATTACGAATTGGGCGATTCCTGCCTTCTCCAATCATTCACCGTAACGTCTTGGACGTGCACCTACGGCTTTCAATAATTTAGAAGCTCCTTTAAAATATGGTCGTTCAAAGCACCTGTTTCGAGAGGGTTTTTTCTTACAACTACATTTCAGCTGTAGTGACCAACCGCACTTCTGTTGAAGGGTAGTCTTCTGGAGAAACGGCGTGTTTCCTGTTTGAAACTTGTAGCCAACGTATTCTTTTCATTTCGGGACCGTGGTGCGGAGATACAGTCAGCGACTATACAGTAGGATACAGCGAGAAGCCAATCGCTGACAGGTGAGTTATCTGGCTTTGTCATCTTTCGATTCTCAGAAAAAAGCGACGACATTGCCGTGCTGAAAGAGTTTTGTGAACAGGTTGTACGAGGGTTTGAAAATAAAACGTTTAGGCACGTTGTGTTCGTGTTGCTACAGAATGTCAGCAAATTAGGAAATGCAACTGTCAAAAGTGGCCTATTGAAAGAAAACTGAGCTATCCAATTAAGCTATTAAATAATGCATGGGGAGATGTATTTTCGTTCTCGCGTTTTGTTTTAACTCAGGTAATCCAGTCGATGGTAACACCTTGGCTCCCCTACCCTACCCCCCCACGAAATAAAAAAATATTACGTCTTATTATTTTTCAAATACATTTACGTAGTTAAGAGTGTACTGATGCTGTCCCGTTAATGTGTTTTTTTTTCCTTTCTCGACAATGTCCTAGGTTTCTCAAATGGTCATTAATCCAATGGGTCCATGTTTTCTCCCCTTGCGCAAATATACGTGTTTGTCGTGACCACTCCCCCTCCCTCTCTTAGCCAGTTCGTGTTCCTGCATTGGGCTTGAACAAGCGGGGCTGTTGCGCTAAGCCTCAAAATAATGCTTTTAAACATCCTTAAGAATGCATTACGGTCGGTCGTGTTGGTTACTGGGCAGTCAGATGAGGGGAAGGCGCAGGCTACTAAAAGGGATTTGTCATCCGCTGTCAAAACCTTTACTAATTTACTGTCACGATCCCCCAACCACAGGCCACTGACTCATTCTGATCCTTCTCAGGTTTTAGTTACATTCACAGACGCTGACCTTCCTTAACAAAGCACTGGATTCAGGTAGTGGTGATACTTGAGTCATATTTGAAAGGCTTGAATCATATTCTGACCTCTGTGCTTTCATTTTCTGCGTCTTGGGAGGGGGGGCTCTTCCAGCAGGCTGAAGGTGCCTTAATAACTAAAAAATATACAAATTAAAGTTGTATATAAATAAATACATGGATAGATGGGGTTGCACCAACACCCCAGTGACTAGCCCTCTACCAGTTCTGACTCTCCTTCATGCCTCCTTTTATTGGGTGTAAGTATCAATAATGTCCTGGACCTAATGTAGCATTGTATCGAGACAGCACTGCTCCTACCACCCAGATTCAAACCCATAGGCTCGTGGGTCCAGCAGCTCCTTGATCGATCATTCAACCCTGATGGCCATCATGTCTACTTTGCACTATAGTTTCCAGCTCCATTCTGCCCTGCTTCAGCATTTGGAATAAAGGCGTATCAGGACATAAGACTTCTGTCAGTCAACAATTTTCTTCCCATTAAGAATAAGTTTTATCCACTGAGTGAATAACTCAAGGATAGGAAGATACCGTTGCAATGCCAGTGGTGTGAAGACAAAAGCACACACACAGGTTAGAATATGATCCAACCTTGAGATGTGACTCATTAAAAACCACTACCTGAATCTGTTGCTTGTTACAGGAAGGTTTAAATAATTGCAAAAGATAACTGGAACCTCCTTCAACTGAGAGATGGGATAACCAAATTGAAAAGGAGATTCTGATCTTAGTAAGGTTTTCCTGGTTGAATAGAAGTTGCAAGTTCCCATGTCAGTCCCCTTCTCACTGCCCTCCACTGGTTGCCTGTCTTGGCTCGCATCAAGTTTAACCTTGACGCCTGAATTTATATACAATTATTAAAAAAAAAAAAAAATTTGTGTTTTTGCTTTCAAGCAGATGCTAAATTGGATGCATTCTGAATGGAAACGGTTCGCAACAAATTCGCAACAATAGGCGTCAAGGGGTTAAAACACTGGGGCTAGCATTCAGGCTACCAAAGGGACAGACCCAGCCTATCTTCAGGAGATCATCAGACCCTATACACCAGCCAAACCACTCCGTTCAGCCACTGCTGGTCTGGCGGCTCTCTCCCTCCATTCTGGTGTAGCCCGGTTGAGTCTCTGGTCTGTCCTGGCCCCCGCGTAGTGGAATGAGCTTCCCACTGAGGTCGGGACAGCAGAGACACTGACAGCCTTCAAGCGTAGTCTGAGAGCACATTTGTTCAGACTCTACCTCTCCCCGTGAACTTAATGCTGCATTTGTTACTTGACTTAGTTTTATTGACTGTATGGTGTTTGACTTAATTAATTGTTTATGGATTTATTTTGCTCCAGGTATTTCACTGAGCTATATCATTTCTATGTATTCTCGGTTCTGGTATTTAAATGGTACTTCCCAATTGGAATTCTCAGCACTCCTTGTCCGGTCTAAGCACTGTCGAACGTCGCTCTGGTTATGAGCGTCTGCCAAATGACAATAATGTCATGTAATGTAATGTAATGTAATGCATTAACTCAATGGGTTTTAAAGTCAGTTGAGGGATCCCCTGTATATGCTGGTTTTTACTTTGACCACAATTGCAATCCCAAAGTTTTTACAAGATGGTGGTGGTACAATGGAGGACTGATCTCTGTACTGACGGGTCAGGAACCGCACAAGAAAATGTGAGACTGATGACAGCATACAGTGTTGGAGGAGTGCTGGTTTATCTGGGAGAGATACCAACATTGCTGGTGTAGTGGTATCATATAAGATTCTCAATCATGTGATCTGGGTTCAATTCCCAGGTGGCGTACTGTATTTTTGCAACAGTTCACTCTTAAAACCCGCCACATCTAACTGCATTTCATTAATGGGAACTCAAATACAGTGTGATATTGCGATGAGATACTGCGGCCTACAGTCATCCTATTCGTCCGTCAGAACGATGCCTTATTCTCACAGGACAGCGCCAGACTCCATGTTGCCCTTGTATGTGCAAATTTTCTTGAAGGTTGAAAACATGTGTGTATTTGAATCACCAGTTTATAGACCCTTTCGACTGCGCAATTTGTGTTTGCCTGTTTCCAATCAGTGATGGAAATGTATTGCAATGTGTTCATACCATCTGTCAACGCACAATGAAAGAATAGTAGGTTTCTGTACATGCATGCTGGTTTTTGCTTCAACCACAATTGTGATCCTGGAATTTTCCAAATTTTTCAAAGGTGCTATTTTTTTAATTGTATTATTCATTAATAGAAGGATTATTTACCCTTTCAGGCCACATTATGGGAGAAATGGCATGCCCTGAAGTGATCCATATTCATGCTGTATTACATTGCAAATGTACTCTATTGGAAAAGAAGAGGGGAAATTGCAAATGTTAAGATTAAAGAATCAATTGGCTTGTAGTTAGTGAAAGTATGGACTCATGGTCAGAACAAAATATCAGTTTGGGTGGTTATAACAAATTCAGAGACAAGGCACATGACAATAAACCAGACCTGCACTGTGTGAAAGGAAGGGATGTCACATATTGGGAAAGATGATGAGAACCCAGTTGATTTATCATTTTCTTTAATTTAGTCCAGTTAAAAATGTGTACGCTTTTTCCAAATGTCAACTGTAAAGCAGAATTTTTACCCCATGTCGTCTATGGCTATTCCTGTTTCGGATTATGTGGCTAAATAAGGCAAGTAATCCCATGAAACATGAAAATGAAGTTATTAACAACAGATGACAACTACTTGAAATTGTGATAGCAGTCGTGGTTGGAACAAAAACCGGCATATGCAGGGGGTCCCCAGGACCAACACTTAGAGCCACAACATTTAATCAATTAGGGCCATACTCTGAAACATAAGCCTGGAAGGGCACATTTTCAAATAAGCTCCATCAAATAACTAGTGCATGTGTTTCTAACTTATTCTAGTTTAGGATGACAAATGCCAATTTCAGAAAAATTGCATTTTGAGGCAAAATTTCCCAATTTTAATGTCCTTCAGTTTTTCAACATTTTTTGAGATATGGGTCATTCTTGAAATTAAAGTCATGTTTTTGTGATTTGGATGAGTGTCAAACTCAGCAGCAGAAATAATCTATTGTTGAGGTCGTTATTTTTCAACTTTTGCTGCAAAAGTCCCAGCAGACTTAAAAGTTACGCTCTCTAAGGGGGTCAAAATATATGGTGGTGAATGACGTCACACACATAACGCATAGCAACAAAAGTTTTTATAAAATGAATAAATCCAAGGGAAAATACGAAAAACCTGAGATTATAAATTAATACCATACCTTTCATGCTTGGAGGGCATAACTTCCTCAGTCCCACAAATAGAATTTGTTTTATAGCAAATGTACCTGTCACACACGTAACGCGGTGTTACATGTGTGACATTTGACGTTACATGTGTGACCAAAGTACAAAGCCTATGCTATGACAGGACATTAATGACCTGTTTCCTTTATCTTTAGACTAATAAAGGTTTAGTGCACACCTCTGTCAAAAGGTAGTCTAGGTTATCTCTATCCAGAACAACAACAATGACAAGTAAAGCCTTCAACATGAAGGTCAGCCACCCCATCACTTCACCTAAATATTTTGCCAGATTTATGCAACTTTGATGTGTATACCCATGTGCAAAGCAGGAAAGAATTTAGATGTAATATCATGGAATATGTAATGTACAGAAAGTAATGTGAAAATGATGTTAGTTGGATTAAATTAACCCCTTTGCGCAGAAGCCAAATATGGCTATTTATGCGTTACCCTGTTTAATGCTTTATGATTCAGGATTTAAGCTTCACAGAGAGGGGGAATATGGCTTAACTGAGATGAATACACTTGCAGCATTTAATGTTCTGTTGTATTTTGGTTTATTTTCATGATTTTGGTAGAGCGGTGTTTCCCAAACCTCTCCTGCCGTACCCCTTGACCTGCATGCTTTAGATCTCTCCCTGCTCCAGCCCAGGTGATTCAAATGATTCGCTTATCAAGCAGCTTCTGGGGTTAATTATGACCTGATCATTTGAGTCACCAGTGCTGGAGCAGGGAGAGATCTAAAGCATGCAGGACAAGGGGTATGCCAGGAGAGGTTTGGGAAACACTGTGGTAGAGAAAAGGGGCTGCAAACATAAAAAAAACCTTCATGAAAATTCTGCATTGAAATGATAAAAAAAAAATACTGAGGATTGAAAAATGGCTGGGGGTTAAAACAATACATTTTGGGATCTTCGAGACCACAAGTATTCTTCATCTGAGCATTAAATCTTATTTGGCTTCGAAAGAGGAAACCAAATGAGACATCTCTCCAGGTGGCTCCTTAAACACACACAGCCCTCAAAATGCCGCACTGTCAAATCATAAAATAATCATATTTTTACACAAATTAGCTTTTGATGCATGAATTTAATACGAATAATGATTTTTTTGGTTTAATTTAGCAAGAGTTTATCAATAAAGGCGCAGCTGGACATCAATGGTCACCAGTACCCACTCCAAACCAAAAACATGCCTTTTCTCCATGATAAACTTTGTCCATTTTTGCACAAAGTCGCATCAGCAAGCACACTTACTCATTAAAGGAGCTGCTTATTTTACGGTCAGGAGGTTCACTCAGACGGAAAGCTTGCTGTTTACAATTCCAATTTGAAGGTGACTAAAATTTAACCTGTGAAAGTTTATGTTGTTCACTTCTGTCCACCATGTTAATACTGCCGAACCCAATATTCTTATCTGGAACATTGGCTAATACAAAGGATGTATGTTAAACACCTCCATACTTACTTACAAGGACCTACAATAGCCACAGATATGATTTTATTTAAATGAAATGTACTTAAGCATTGCAGGATTTGCACGCAGTCACACACGTAACAAAGGCGTCACACACGTAATGCATGCAAATGAGGTTGTAGTATGCAAATGAGCAAGGTATTTTTATTAAAGTTTTAATTAATGCAAACAGGAATAACTATTACGAAAGTTGTGGAAGCCAAAGTGTCATAATCTTCGTTCAAATCACAGAACTTTTGGAATGTAAATTAAAATGTAGCGATTGACCCATTTTCTGCCTCTCTCTGGTCCTGTACTTCCAGTGTTTTTGGCAAATATCAAGTTAATGTCCCACATTGATAGGGAAGCCCAGGTATCTTGTGGTTGTCCTATATTGATCCCCATCTGCAACCCAATAAAAGTAAAGCGCATTGAAAAATGTCAAGAATACCTTCCAAATGTCACACACGTAACGCCAGAATCACCCATTAATTAATTAAGTGGGCTGGAGAACGATTACTCCCTTTCAAATTGCCCCCATTGAAACTACTGTAAAGAATAAAGGATAAAATTACAATGATAAATGCCAAATGCGGAAAATATTTAACTTTTTCAATGTTTAAATGGAACCAACCAAAATTGTTTAATTAAAAGTGCATTTTCTCTTACTCAGTAATTCACAATTACTGGCACCCCTGGTTTAGTACTTGGTGCAATCAACTGAGGCAAGGATAATATCGGAGTCTCTCCTGTACTGTCTGTTAAGGTTAAGGCACACTTCTGGAGGGATTTCAGAGCAATCCTCAATATAGATCCTTTCAAAATCAGTCATATTCCTGGGTTTGCAGTCATTAGCTGCCCTTTTCAGTTCAGCTGATAGGTTATAGATTGGATTGAGCTCTGATGACTGACACCGCCATTGCAGAACAATGGTATTGTTGGTGGGAACCAATTCCATATGGATTTTGCAGTGTGCTTTGGGTCAGAAACATCATCTACATTTCGCCTTTGCAGCAGAGATGCGCTCAAGAAGACAGACTCTTACACCCATGGTGAAATATGGTGAAAGATCAGTGATATTTTCGAGCTGTTTTAGTTCTGGAGGTCGAGGGGCACTTGTTAACATCAGTAGCTCAATGGATTCCACTAAATATCAGGCAAGTTTGGTGGACAATCTGGTTGTTTTTACCAGTAGACTGACACTTGGCCAAAGGCAGATGTTCCTGGGAGACAATGACATTTTTTGACAGATAGAATGCTATCTTGGAGAATCAAAATATTTCTACCTTGTAAGAAAAGAAAAAAAATTCTGTGATTATCATCTTAAGAACAGTGCTGTAGTTACGCTGGGAAATATAGGAAGACTGCTAAGATTCCACATATAATATATAATATTCATTTAATGTGTCAAATGTATGCAGGGTGGCATACGGTGGTGGATGAGTATTGGTTTGAATAGAAAACAGCTGCCAGCGCTGCTGGTGTAGTGGTATCATGCAAGATTCCCATTCTTGTGACCTGGGTTTGATTCCTGGGCGGCGCAGTAAATTTTGAGTATGTGCTGCTTGCTCTTCAAAGAATATCCGATGGAAACCAGAGCCAACTGCATTTCATTTCCAGTAAGTTGAATGCTGTTCGATATCACAATTAGATGGTGCAGCCTACAGTTCTGGCATTCGTCTGTCAAAACAACGTTATGTTCCAGTGTGGCAACATCAGACCCCGTGTATGCACAGAGTTCCCTGAGGCTGAAAACTTTTGTGCTTGAAAGGCCGTTTATTCTCAGTATTTGTCCCCTGTTGAGCATCTCTGAGATGCCCTCAACTGACGAATTCATCATCAGTTTCCACTTCTGGCCGATATCCACCAACTTTGTGCAGCTCTTGAAGAGGAGTGTGAACACGTCCCCAAGTCGCCATTGACCATTTGATACAGTCCATTGGGTGGAGATGAATAGTAGCGCAGCAGGCCAACAGGGGACATACTTGACATTGATTGGTGTAATTTGGACAACTGACCCCATCTTCTTTTTATCATCT